ATATTTTTAATTTGTGTGGTCATAAAAATATAATAACTGTATTCGTAACGCTTTTCTTAACCCACATTTAAGCGCCTAAGTAGTCGTTGACTAAGAAAAAAGAAAAAATTGAAGTACGTAGTCCTTAAACTACTCCATTTCTAGAAAGATGTTAATACATAAGATGCTAAAGATTTGTTAGTTCTGCTAACAACTTGTCAAAATTAATACTAAAAATAAATTTAAAAATAAATTCAGAATTGAAGAATGAAATTGATATTTTAACAGCAGAATATTGACAAATATTAACGGCATAAACAAGGTTCATCGGTTCATTGTAGCTGGAATTTACGACAGCAGCTTTTATGGCTGGGCAGGATCGTACTGTATTAAAATTTGAGAATTTTTAGGTTAGATATCAACCTAGTTCCTCAATTTTTAAAAAATTATATTAAATTCACTCTTAAACTTTATAAAATATTAAAAATTCTTTAAAATTCTTGTTTGGATACTAATTTAGTTGTTTTATCAATTAAATAATGACATGGCAGATTTTTTTAATTTACTAAATTTTTAAAATTTTAAATGTGAGGTGGAAATTTGATACCTAACTGTTACCTACTTTAGAATAAAAAACCAATTTTCTCGATTCAACAAAGCTGCACAACGGGGAATCCATCTGGATCCCCAAATCTGCAAATAAGTTTCTAGATTTATAGTGACTCGGCTTCAACTCAACAATAAATTCATCCTCTACTTGTGACTTTAAGTTTGTTTGGCTTTTGGGGTTTTTATGGCTGGGTTTTGATCCTTTGTTTTGTATTGATAAATCTATTTTTATTTTTTAATTCAAGATTTATATATTTATTCATTAATTATGGCCATAATCTTTGAATTTGGGTAGTTCATTTAATTTTTGTGGATGGGAATTTAGTAAAGTTCAAACCCAAAATTAGGTTTTGAAACAATTTTTCAAGCAATCTACTAAAGCAAAGAAACTTGGCAAGGGGTAATTCTGCCATGAAAAGTAAAAGATGAGGGACACAAATTTCAATTTAGAAAATATATACGTTATTTATTTATTTATAGGTTAAATTTAATAAATAATTTATTAATTATGTGATTTATTTTAATATATTTTAGAAACAATTTCTTCTTTCAAAATGATTTATAAATTATCAATTTTTTTTAAAAAATAGTCTACTTAACAAAACCTTGTTAACTGACTAACAAAATTCTTTCTAGTTATTGATAAGTTGCCCCTCAACTTTTGAAAAATGTTAAATTTAGTATATATATTTGTAATATTTTGTTTTT